CTGGTGAATTTTTTTGTTTTAGGTAGTAACCGCGATTGCGGATCACAGCACAGATAACCCAGATATGCTCAATTTCTCAAAGGGTGACAGGATTATCATCGTTGAAGTTGTGAGTAAACAAATCTAGAGCCGCTAAGACTTTTTAAAGTACCGCTATTCAGGTCGACAACTATTGGTATCGAGGAAAAGTCGAAGGATTCAAAACCTTACCAGCTGGTCTTTTCCCCAAAGCTCTCGTCAAGGAAGACTGAATTTGAAGAGCTTTTGAAGTAGGTTGCAGCTTATTTTTTACAGCAAAAGAGACGAATCATCTTTATTAACAATGTCTCAGCAATATTTTTTTGAAATGTATCTCTCAGGCTTTCATAAACTTAAAGTCCTGAAACCATTCATAAAGGCATGTACAGATTATTTTTTAGATTGTGTTGTGATTCTTCTATAGTCGCTCATTTTTATAGATTTTTATTCCAAAAAATATCAAAATTCTATGTGAATATTGTGATAATTGCCTCTCATTCGCTTCATTGCTTACATTACGTGTAGTAAATTGTTAGATAGACTATATCAAGAATAAATACAAATGGAATAATTTATTGTAAAATATGAGTATTTCATGCAGAATCATTGAGAAGATCAACAGTTTATATTAAACAGCTTGAAAATTATAACAAAGTACTCCATTTATATAAAAGACGTTTGAAAAGTAACTATTCGCAACAGGGAAGGGAAGGTTTTGCAATCTTTTCTCACCAGACTTCTTAGCGAAGTTTGCTAAAGAGAGGACGCTTACCTGCTGGTGATAGTCTTCAATTCAACAATGAGGAAGTAGATGGAAGATCAAACATATCAGCTCAGATCAACATTTAAATAACCCGCTTACATATAATGTGAAATAAAACTTAGAAAGTCTAGGTGAAAACTGAAACCATCTAAAAAGTCTGCAAATTAGAGTAAAAGTCTGAAAATTAGAGTAAATACCTAAACAATTCTTCCTCTTTTGATTTCATAAACGCTACTAACTTTTTCCTGAAACTGTTCTAATGAAAATTGGCTAACGTCCACATCGTTGTTGGTGACTAGGTAGTCTTTCGTTTTTGTCAACATTTGCTCAATGAAATGAGCTACGTTCACGACATCGACCATTTCCCCTTCGATAAGTTTCAAGCCAACCCTGAAATAGAGTATTGTTGAAATGAATTTTAGCAGCAAGATCTCTGGAGTGAAAGCCTAGCCAGGAGAGCATACAGTTGTGACAGATGTT